TATACAGCACTTGATCGTGAAAGCATTGAAAACCGCGAATAGGCAGACATCAACGTGACCTGTGCTGACCAATATTAATCATTGCTTGCCATCCAGTGCCTAAATGCTACCAATGCTCGTTTGCTGTGAATCATAACCAGTGTGCTATGAACCGGAATATTTGCTAAGCTATGACAGGCATGCGTCCGCCTATGAGGCGATCTGTCTACGAATATAACATACTGACTTATGATCTAAACTGAAGAACTTCCGATACCACCTTGTCACGTTCCATCACAATGGCCTTGATACATATGCTACAGTAAGGTTTTTAGTAGAGGGTGGCATCAACGTGACCGGGGTTGTCCATTCGGCAGAGTGTTTGATGCAACCGAGGTTTCGAGTTCCAGGCCTTGGAGAGTAACGGCGTTTATTCTTCCGAGGCTGATAAATGAATACCTCTCGGTGGGAGGGAACCAGGACACTATGTACTATGCCTGTCCCATAGCTGCTGCGAAATGTACCTTCAGAATATGGCAATCTTGGCTGATGACATAGAAACAGCGATCAGCGCTCCACAGTGAGATGAACAAGATTTTTAACTTCATGAAAAGAAGGGCGCAAGAAATGATCCTCTCATGAAAATGCCAGTAAGACCGATCTTTCTACTGATACACACCTTCCCTTCCTTTTTCTTTCCGGTGATCAAACAACAGCAACGGAGAAGCCAAAGCCAAATCGCAAAAGCTGTTGTTCTGTGTATGAATGGCGAATGATGTACATTATTCATTCATATTTGAACCCTATATTAGTTCGTCGCGGAGATGGTGATACACAAGTTTCTTCAGTGGTCTCGTTTTATTGACCACCGGGCAAGTCATATGATTTGGATTCACTGATGTGACGATGTAAGTCTGATTTAACCATGGGTTCCTCTTCTGCGCCTGCAACTTAGCTGCCTTCTGTTTAGCTCTGCCGAGAGATCTAACCCCGTGAATCTTTGTTTTGATATTTGGATCATTTGTCCAAACAACGCAACC